GTGTGTGTGTGTGTGTGTGTGTGTGTGTGTGTGTGTGTGTGTGTGCGCGCGCATTGCTGGCAGGGGCCCCATGGCAGGGCGGTCTGTAGATTGTTGACTACAGCTGTGGAAATATTGTGTGCTGTCGTGGTCCACCGGCCTGACGTCTCCCCCCCCCCCACACACACACACATGAACGAGCGCGTGCGCAAACGGGGCCACGTGCACACGCGGGAACGGCAGTCGTGGTCGCGTGTGGGGTGGGATGTGGAGAATTTGGGGGACGGGGCGGATGCAAATCACCTTTGCAAACCCGCCGTCGGCCCAGGAGGTGCCCCAGCTGTTCTTGATGATCCAAAACCGCTCGTTGTTGTCGTACCCGACCTGCTTCATCCGAGATTGAATGGCCCAGCGGGTTTATCTACGTGTTTTCCCGTGACAAGGCAGCAGCGGCTCCCGCGGCGCTCGCGCCGGGGCGCACACGCGCAGGACGAGCAGCGAGCGCCGAGCGCAGCTGGCAGGCCGCCGGCACGGACTTTGGGGCAGAGCAGACCAGGCGAACCCTAAACCCCAGACTTTGAGCCCTGCTCCAGGGGAAGCGGCGGCGGGAGCGAGAGGGGATTGACGGAGCAGCGCGGGGCCCGCGAGCCGACGGGGGAAAACCGCGCGGAGGGTCCCACCACGAGGGCGGCGTGGGCTTGATCGGTGCTGGGGTCGCTGGGCAGGCCTGATGACATGACATGATGCGGGGGCGGGTGGGGATGGGTTGGGGGGAGGGCGCCACATGGCTCGGCTGACGGGCAGGGCGGCTGTGACTGCGTTGTCCCAAGGTAGAACGCTTCTCGTGCGCAAAGCGCAGCGTAAGATGTGCAAGATGTTTTTGTGTGTGTGTGTGTGTGTGTGCGTGTGTGTGTGTGTGTGTGTGTGCGCGCGTGCGTGTGCGCACTGCATGCCACATGCAGACGAACGGTGCCGTCTGTCCCTGCACTGCTGCATCACGGCGATCGTCTTTCGTGCGAAGCACACCCAGCCCAGCCCTGAGTGGCGGAGGCAACGAGGGTGCTGCCCCTCTCCTGCGACGAGAGAGGCCCCCCCAGGGCGGCAGGCGGGGTTGCTTTTTCGGCCCGGTGCACCGTCGTAGATTTTGGTCTTATTGGCGCCCTGGAACCAGGACCTGAAGCCCTGTTGCAAGTTGATGCGCGTCACCACGCCTGCGGCAAGCGAGCAGGGTCGCGGCCGGGCGTGACGGTAGTGCACGATGGCGATGTAGGGTGAGTCATGTTTGTATTTGAGGGTGTGTGTGTTTGCTTGCGTGTGCAGGAGGTGCCTGGTTGACTACATATGCCATGAACGATTACGATCTGGGAAAACCAACGACTGGCACTTGGACGCACGCATGCCTGTGCTCCGCCCTCCCACACCGTGCACCATTGCCATGAGAGGCGCTCACGGGGCCTCCAACCTCCCCTTTCCTCCCCCTGAACCCTGTCCTCACCACCCCATTCTCGAATGTGCTGCTGCACGCGGCCGATGCTGTTGAGGGGCTGCACCTTGGTCCAAGAGAAAGAGCCGACCTGGCTGACTGGGGTGCCGCAGCTCGGGCTGGCGGTGCAGATGTCTGAAAGTGAAGCGTGGCGGCGTGGCGGTGTGCACGCGCGCATGCATGTGTGTGTGTGTTGAGGGGGGCATGCATGTGTGCTTAGGCACATGTCTGTGTGGGGATGTGCGTGTGAGTGATTGCAGATGTGTATGTGTGCATGTGCGTATGCGCGTGTGTGTGTGCGTGTGTATCCGCAGGTGCGAGTGTGTGTCAGTGTGTATGTGAGTGTTCGAGTGTTGTGGGATATGTGAGGGACAGTGTGTGAAAAAGCATTGTGTGTGTGTGTGTGTGTGTGTGAGTGTGTGTGTGTGTGTGTGTGTGTGTGTGTGTGTGTGTGTGTGTGTGTGTGTCTATGTGTATGATGCACGTCGCGCGAGACGGGACATGCCACAACTCTTGGCCCGCCGCCCAGCCCAGACCCAAAACCCCAAGAAACTCGCGACCTAGGCCTCGATGGCGCCAGCTCCACTCGGTCAATCCGCAACCACTCCACATCGCCACTCGCGCCCCGCACGGGTAACCCAGACCGGCGCCCCCTCCAGACGGCGGCGCCGCGCCCTACCCTGCAGCGGCAGGTTCTGAAGGCTGGTGAACGGCAGGCAGTCCCAGCTGGCCAGGCTCTTGCGCCTAGTCAGCTCAGCCAGGGCCGAGTTGAAGGTCCACCCATACAGGCAGTCGGCCTCGTCCCCTGGGCGCGGCAGGCCGGGCAGCAACAAATTGTCCGGGCGGACGGCGGACAGGGAGGCGGCGGTTGGTGGTGCGCGGGCGGGTGCGAAGGTTGAGGCGTGGTTTTGGTCTACATGAACTGGAGAAGCGCTGCATCCGGACCTTGGGTCTGGGAAACAAGCGCCGGAGGGAAGCTGCTGAGATGTGCTACAAGTTGGGCTCAGCGCTGCAATCCAAGGTCAAGAGCTTGCGCGCGCCCCCCCCCTCTGCTGCCGCACACACCCCCGTCGGGACCCCCATTGCGCCATCCCTGGCTGCGCCGCGCCGCCGCTCACCGGCGCCGCCGCAAAAGAAGAGGTCCCGCGGCGACAGCCGGGGCATGCGCGGGCCCCCCGCGGCCAGTTTGAGCCCGCTCGCAATTGCGGCCTCCGCTGCCGCAGCCACAGAGAACGCGACGCAAGCGTTGCACTCCCCTGCAGTCGGAGCAGGGGCATAGAACCATGGCTGAGTCAGCACTGGATCCTGGATCCACAAGCTGCCGGCAATTGCCACAAGCCCCGCGCCGCAGAGCAGTGAAGAAAGCGCGCCGCGGGTATGCTGACTCAGCTGTGAACGCTCGAACAGCATGCAAGGCCACCAGCACGCACGCGCGCCGCGGCTGCGGCGCCCAACCCCCTGCCCTCGCACGGGCGCGCGGCCTCCCTCCCGCCGCCCCGCCGGCCCAGCTGCGCCCCGCCCCGCCGCGTCCACCTCGGGGCCCCTCACCTTGATCGCCCGGGGGCGATATGGGCGACGTGCCGCCCGTCTGCTTCGCGTCCCGGCTGTCGAACGCCATCGGCGACGTCGCCAGCAGCAGCGCGTCGCGCGCCTGCTCAGTGTCGAAGCTGCTGGAACCGCACAGCGACGCGCCGCCCGTGCGGCAGGCCTGCCGGAGGTTGGTGCTCCACAGGGACTTGAGGGACCCCGCCCGCTGCATCGCCGCCTTGTAGGAGTTGTCCAGGAGCTTCATGCGCTCGCTGGCACCCAACAGCGAGTGGTCGGCCACCAGCCCCTGGGCTGCGGGCGGCGGCGGCGGGTGACCGGGGCGGCCGGGGGCGCGGCGCGGGGGCGGATGGGTTTGGGGGTGGCGCGGGGACCGGAGGCGGGGCGCGGGCGGAGGGGGGCCCCCTGAGCCATTGTTGGGACGGTCTGTTGGGGCAGGCGGCAGCAGGCCTCGCAACGAGGCCGGTTTGGGGCGTGAGCGTTGTTTGTGCTGCAATGGGGAAGGGCATACCTTGTACCGCCGGGAGGCTGCATAGGCCGAGCGCCAGCAACAGCACAAGCGCAATGCATCCGCAGGTCTCGCCACTCCGGCCGCCTGCACAGCCATGGGATGAGCGCTGCACCCGCCAGACGCGGGTGCCCATGGCCCCAAGCTGGACGGTCTGGATTGAAAAGCGTGAGATTTAATGGCCACCACTAGTCTCGTCGGCACGTGCTCGCTTCAGCACCCAACGGAGACTGATCTTCCTTCCCGGGTGCCTCCCCTTCGCGGCTCACAAGGCGCGAGGCCGTGGCGCGTTGATTGCACATGAGATAATAAACATATTGTGTAAAGCAGCTGGTGACAGCGAGGACAACCATGCGCCTTGTCTGAAAAGCTGGAACGCATCCCTAGCGTTCTTGGTCCAGCCGGGTGACGCGGCGCTGCGCCCGGAAGCCGCGGGCGGGAAAAGGGTTACTCAGGGCTGTTGCCAGGGCTGACTACCTGGGCACATGTTTTGAGGTGATTGAGCGGTGGAGCTTCCGCTTGCATTGGTGCCTTGCAGGCGAAAACATCTCATAGCGTCTTGGGCGGGGAGAGGGCGCCTGAGCAAAGCATTGGGGCGGAGGCCGACGAACGAGCATCTACGGGGCAAAAGTGACTGGGTTGGATAGACTGCAAACATCGAAGCCAAAAATGTGCGGCACGACTCCAAATACATGATGGGCCAGAGGTGCCCGCTCCACAAAGAAAGGGGCGGGCCCGGCTGGCTCACTGGCGTGGTCAACGGCAGTCAACAGCGTGGCAAAGGTTGACCGGAAGCTAGCTGAGCAGGTGACAACAGAGCAAGAGGCAGGCTTAAATTGTGATTGCATTCGCCACAATCACACGAGCGAAGGTTTACTGACACCGCACGGGTGGCTGCAGCCAGCAGACGCACGGCGCATGCATGCGCCAGGGGCCGCGGCGCCAGGGGCCGCGGCGGCGGTTCTCCCGCCACCCATGCCCCCAAACCCCGGCCGGCCCGCGCGCCCCCCACGCCGGCCAGGCGCGTCGATCCCAGGCCGCCGCGGCGGCGGCCGCAAGGGCGCGCCCCGGGGCGCGTGCGCGAGGGCCGGGCGCGGCGGCGCGGTCACAGTCGCCTCCCGCCGCCGCTGCCGCCGAAGAGGCCCGGGCCGCCCTGGGTGCCCGCGGACCCGCATTTCTCCAGGCACTTTGGGTCGGTTGCAAACGGCGGGTTCTGGCTGATGAGCTGTCAGTTGTTGTTGATGCAGGTGCCAGGGCCAAATGCAAAGGGACGGAGCGGGG